TACACACACACACACACACACACACACACACACACACACACACACACACACACACACACACACGCACGCACACACACACACACACATGTCGGTGGTGCCTTCAGATGGGAGAATCTCCACGTCCTCTACAAACACACACACACACATCGACATCATCACTCACAACGCCACCTCACTCCCTGGTCGTGCGCAGGCCCGAAGGAGAACATCTGGTCCAACTTTGAGCAGTATGGCCTTTCGTCGCAGTTTGTTGGCGTGCTCGTGGCCGACAACCACCGCTCTCCATATGTCAACAGGGAAATGTTCGACGCCGTCGTCGCAGACCGTACGTGCTCTGCGATGCGTGAAAGTGTCTGTGTGTGTGTCTGTGTGTCTGTGTGGCTGTGTGTGTCTGTGTCTGTGTGTCTGTGTGTGTGTGTGTGTGTGTGTGTGTGTGTGCGTGCGTGTGTGCCTGTGTGTGCCTGTGTCTGTGTGTCTGTGTCTGTGTGTGTCTGTGTGGCTGAATGTGCGTACTCTTTCTTTTTTGAGTGTGTGTGCTTGTGTCACATGCGTTGTGATTGCTCGTGTTACGTGCGATGTCCAATGTGTTGCGCTCGCCACAACAACACGCTTTCCTCGCACACTTCCCCTCCCCCCTCTCTCCCCCTTTCGTGTTTTCAGCACCGTATGGCATTCGAGAGCAAGCGCGTCGCATCGCCAGCCAGCCGCTCGCAGAGGAGCAGTCAGTTGATGCCCTGCCTTGCACGGTCATGTCACGCACGTCTCGTCATATTGGCTGTGCTGGCGGCACTGATATGAGCCATCCTTCATTCAACCTCACCCACGCCTTTGGTTTGATGTGTGTGTGTGTGTGCAGCCGGACTGAGGCGCACTTCCCCAAGAGCGAGGCGTACGGACTTGGGTCCATCTTCCACGACCTCCTCCACTTTGCTGCAGAGCGACTCGGTGAGCACTGCTTGTCGTATGCAGCTGTCGTCCCCCCCCCCCCTCACCGCAACATGCAATTGTGCTTTTGTGCTCGTATGTAGTGAAAGACACACGCGCACGCACATACATCACACGTGCATTGGCGTATGCCGACCAGCTCACTTTCTTGCTGCACATCTTGCTTGTTGCTTTCGTGTCAGTGATTGGTGGCCGGCTTTGCTTTTGGATCCCGGAAGCGCTGGACGACGATTCATTCAAGGTCGATGCGCAAATCAAGACATGCATGTAACATCGCTCTCGCTTGCACACTCACACACTCACACACTCACTCACTCACTCACTCACTCACTCACTCACTCACTCACTCAACTCAACTCAACTCAACTCAACTCAACTCACTCACTCACTCACTCACTCACTCACTCACTCAACTCACACACACACTCACACACTTACACACACACTCACTCACTCACTCGCTCACTCCGATTTCCGTGTGTGTGCCGTTCAGTTGCCGATGCACCCGTGCCTGGAGTTGGTGTCTGCGTGCCAGCAGATGCTGTCTGGGCGGCTTGCGCGGCGGCTGGTGACAATGCGCAAGACGCGGCATGTACAGGAGGGCGACCGCACCGTGGAGACGCTGCCTGCCTCTTGGGAGGTGCGCCATGTCGTCTTCAGGCGCGACGATGAAGAAGAAGCAGAAGAAGAAGAGCAAGATGCTGGTGACGGTGGTGATGGTGACCATGATACCAGCGTGAGCAAGGTGGTGGAGGCAGTACAGCAAGCGCAGCAGGCGCAGCAGGCGCAGCAGGCGCGCAGTGCTGGTAGCACCAGGGAGGAGGAGCAAGAGGGGGAGCGCAGATGACACAGCTGGCGCGAGATACATCACTCTCAGTGCACCCGCCTCTCGCTCGTTTGTTTTTGCCCACCGCTTGTGCTTCATTTTATGGCAAATAAACGTTTACCCACTGGTTCACACGCGCGCGCAGAATTCAAAAATCGCGGCAACTGCCAAAACCAAAATCCCAACGACCACCAACAGAGAGCGAGCGAGAGAGGCACACACACCACACACACACACACACACACACACACACACACACACACACACACACACACACACACACACACACACACACACGCAGAGCACGAGCGCGATGGCTGATGAGGATGTGCGCCGTGGGTTCGGCCCTGGCCATGGCCACGTCCTGGGGACAGCGGGTCCCGCAAACACGACGCCAACCTCCGCTGCCCACCACACCAGCGATGGTAACACCAGCAACAGCAGTAACGGTCACAGCAGAGGCACACGAATCATGGCGATGCCACAGCATCACACTGGTGGTAGTGCAGGACGGCCATTGAGAGCAACATTCTCGCCATCGCCTTTTGCATCGCCCGCTGCCACCACTTCCAACGCCTCCCACAACAACAACAGCAACAACAACAGCAGCACCCCCACCACGACCACCACTGCCACTGCAAGCGGGCAACGCGTCGCCTCACACATGCGCATGAGGACGGCAAGGGCAACCCCGCACGGCGCGTCGCCGGCTGCCTCCTCCTCCTCCGGGTACGGACAAACACCAAGCACCACAGTTGTTTCCGACCACCAGCACACGGGGCCGTCCCCCTTGCACGCACGGACGCAAGCGTCAGTGGTGTCTGAGCATAGTAGGGCCGGCAACGGCATCAGCAGCAACAGCACGCCCCGGCCGTCTCGTTGGCAGGCGGGCCCAATGACATCCAGCGCCATGCAGTCCTCCTCTGCCTTCGCCACCTCTGCGCGGCAAGCAGGGCGCACCACCACCTTCACGCCAGCGCAGGCCTGGCACCATCACGCCCACCACCACGAGCAGCAGCATGCACAGCCCTCGTGCTGTGGTGCGCCAGCGTGCACCCACAGCCACAATCACACCAGTGAATCCAGTAACTGCACCTATGACAGTGGCATCAACCAGCACCATCACCACAACACCCACCACCATCACCAGCAACACCAGCAACATCAAAGCAGGCCATCTCCAACCCAATTCACAGGATTCGATGCCTTGGTGCCCATGCGCATCAGCACAAAGTTAGTGTGAGTGTGTGTGTGCGTGTGTGCATGTGTGCGGCTATGCATGTATGTGCGTGTACGTGTGTGTCTGTGCGTGGGATACCGTGCTGTTCGAGAAGCCAACTCGTTCTACTCGCGTCACTCCTTTCACTGTTGCCGTCTCACATTCTCCCCACTGTTGGATCCTCAACCCTGCACAGGTCCTCTGATCGCCTGCAGTATGTGCAGCTCTCCCTTCAGTTCACCACCACAGCACTCGATCGCGAAGTATGTTGTGTGTGTGTGTGTGTGTGTGCTGGTCCTGCGTTGCCTGATGATAGAGGGAAGAGTGCGAGATGTGAGTGTCGTTGGTGACTTGTTTTGGCTGCTGTCGTGCCCACCTGTGTGAACTGACCACGACGCGACACACCATCAGCATGACCACCAACAGTTTGCTCACACTCGTACACGCTTGTTCACATTTCATGCCCATATGTGCTACCGCGTCAGGTGCTGTCCATTCGCTTGACAGATCCGGCTGACCCGCTCTTCCTCTACTGCTCCAACATTGATCAAAACGACTTTCTCTCGTCAGTGTCGTGTTTGTGTGTGTGTGTGTGTGTGTGTGTGTGTCTGTCTGTCTGTCTGTCTGTCTGTCTGTCTCTCTGTCTGTGTGTCTGTGTGCTTGTGTGTCTGTGTTTGTGTCTGTGTCTGAGTATCTGTGTGTCTGTGTGCTTGTGTGTGTGTGTGTCTGTCTGTCTGTCTCTCTGTCTGTGTCTGTCTGTCTGTCTGCCTGCCTGTCTGTATCTCTGTCTGCCTGTCTGTCTGTTTGTATTCCCCTGCGTGCGTGCCTGCGAACTGACAGTTCCGCCCCTGTGCTGAAGTGTGGTACTTCTTGCCGTCATCTCAGGCCATTCTCACCTCACCTCGCCTCACTTGCCACCTCAGGCTGAAACGACACCAGGACATCAAGGTTGACTTCCGCTCGTTTCCGCTGGAGGTGCAGCATCT